TGGCATGGCGTGGATGAGGTCCCCGCACAGAACAAAATCTATCCACTGGGATTTCAAAATTGTAGAATAGATAAACAAGATTACACTGTATAGCACAGGGAAATATACACAAAATGTTATGATAACTCACAGAGAAAAAAAAAATGTGACAATGAGTGTGTATATGTCCATGAATGAATGAAAAATTGTGCTGAACACTGGAATTTGACAAAACATTGTAAAATGATTATAAATCAATAAAAAATGTTAAAAAAAAAACAGCTCTTGTCTAACTTACTAATGACTTCCACATGCCAGTGATCTCTGTCCTCATCTTACTTGGCCTTATCAACAGCATTTGACTTAGCTGATTAATCCCTTTTCTTTGAAAGACTTTTTTTCACCTTACTTCTGGGATATTTTTCTCTCCTGGTTTTTGTCCTACCTCATTCATCTCTCCCTCCTCTCCCTCTCTGGTTCCTTTTATGGCTTCTCCTCTTCTTGCTAAACCACTAAATATTTGAAAGTTCCATATCTCAATCCTTGGAATCTTCCCATAGCGCCTTTCCTCCTTAGCGATCTCCAGCCTCGTCACTTCAAACATCAGCTATACACAGAAGACACTGGATGTGTGTTTCTAGTTCTGACATCCTCTTCTCTGAACTCCAGGACTGTAAACCCAACTACGTTTTCAACATCTCTATTTGCGTGTCTAACATCTCAGACTTAGTAAACCCCCAGTCTTCTTCAAGCCTCGCCTTCTGGCTGTCTTCCCCGTTTCCGTACATGCCAATCCCATCCTTCCAGTTGTTCTTGCCAAAAAATCCTTAAAGTCGTTCTTGACTTTTTCCCTCTCAAAATCTTCACCTAATCCATTAACAAAGCCCGTTCGCTTTTTGAAGTATCCACAGTATGAGCATCCTCCTCACCCACACTCGCATCCTGATCCCCGTCACCACCGTCTCACTTCTAATAGCCTCTCAGCTGGCTCCTGCTTTAGCTTTTGTCCCCTGGTCTTTTCTCCACAGTGTCCCGGACTGTTCTTTTGGAACCCTAAGCTGGTTGGTATTCCTCTGCTCAGAATCCTCCAACTTCTCCTATCTCACCCTGAGTAAATACCAGAGTCCTACAAAGCTCTGTGCAGCCTGTGCTCCTTAAATTTCTGAGCTCGTTTACGACCGCGTCCCCCTGGCACGAGGCGCAGCCGCAGCAGAGGTCCCGCGGGCCTGGCGATGCGGCAGGGCGGTCCTCTAACAGCCCTGGCTCCTCCCTTCTCCCCCCGGGGCATTTGCAACACCTCCCTGCACTTCCACTTCCACTCCCATCCTGGACGCTCTGGGTCCCTTCCCTGCCCTTTTTCTCTGTAGCTTTTGTCACCATCTGTCTTGCTCTATGTGTCACTTATTTGCTTGTTTGTTTAGTCATCCTGACCGAAAGTTAAGCTCCAAGAAGGCAGGACTATTTGCCTGTTCTTTCTCCTTCTTTTTCTTCTTCTTCTTCTTCTTCTTCTTTTTTTTTTTTTTAACTTCCATACCCACAGTACCTAGAATAGTGCCTGGCACAATAAATAAATATTTGTCCAGTGAATGAATAGAAATTGCATTCGGGTGACATAATCCATGTATACTTTCCTATTGCTATTAATGATTTCTTTCCACTTCATTTTATCATTTTATTATTTATTATTACGAACACATGTATTCATTGTTCAGCTCAAGCAGTTTACAGCTGAAGACACCGAGGGGTTAAGTGACTTGTGTGGGTTGTGGGAGGATTTGGTGAGGAAGCCTCGAACACAAGTGAGGGCTCTTTCTGTTTACCTTCCAGGTGCTCTAGGAGAGGGCAAAAGCCAGAGACTGAAGGAGTGACACACCGTTATGTAACTCTTTTTCAAACTGCTTGGCTTCTAACCTCGAAGAGGAAAATCGTTCTCGGTTTGGCAAATCAGACTTACTGCCCTGGTTTGGTTCCTCACCCTCTGTCTTCTTTCTGTGTCAGAAATGATGTGTTTTCCCAGCCGCAAGTAACAGACCCATCTTTACACTTCTCATCTGAGCATGAAACCACTTCATGCTCTTCTAGTTCCCGGGAAAAAGTTAGGCAATGCTGGGCTGTGAGATCCCAGGTCATTGGGGATCTTGGAACTGCCAAGCTGGGAGGGAACAAGAGGCTCACCCAAGCCAGCCTCGTTCTACCGCGTTGGATCCCGAAGCCCGGGGGCCGGGTGTGCGGAGGCGGGATGACACGGGTCTCCTCGCTTTATGAGCAGTGTGGTTTCCACGAGTTAAGCTTCCTGCCAGGGACCATTTTTGTGCTTTGTTTTTCTCCTTCTTAAGTAATAACTAAATCTCTTTTCAAACTAGAAATTTAATTTTCTGCGGTTTTTGTTTTGTTTTGATGTGTTGAAGTATAGTTGATTTACAATGTTGTGTTAGTTTCTGGTATACAGCAAAGCAATTTGGTATTTTTTTTTATATTCTTTTCCATCATAGTTTATTACAGGATATTGTTTATAGTTCCGGGTGCTTAACTGTAGAATCTTGTTGTTTATCTAATATATATATATATATAGTAGTTTGTATCTACTAATCTCAAAACTCCTAACTTATTCCTCCCCCACCCCTTTTCCCTTTGGTGAACATAAGTTTGTTTTCTATGTTTGTGAGTCTGTTTCTGTAGAAACTTAATGTTTAATGTCCTATTGCAAGTTTTAAATTTGTTACCTAGGGAAACGGTTTTCTTCCCCTGGAGGTGCTGCTCCTATAGTCAAAGTCTTCATTGGTCCAGAGTGAATGATGTGCTTTAAGGGTTATGGGGTTTCCTGCGTCCTGTTTCTCAAGTGTCACATGAACGAGGGCTGTCCCCACTGCCGAGGAAGAGATGCAGGTACGATACACAGAGGGGCCCGAGTGAGCCCTTGCTCTGTGCTCGTCACCAACAGGGATGCCACGTGACCAATTTAGCCATCAGAAGACCTTAAGTTTGTGGAGCACTTGAGAGTTTACAAAGTGCAGTCACACAAAGAATCTTTTGATTTCCTTGGCACCCCTGTGAGTGGGTGGGAGCAATAACACATCTTAATTTTATAGAAATGGTGGGAACACTAAGGTGTAAAGTTTCCTGGAGTCACTTAACTAGAGAATAGCCAAAACAAAGACTTGATCTGGGTTTTTACTCCATATTCAACTTGTGTTTCCCCTGCAGTGAAACTGTGATGTGTTTTGGACAGAATAATAGGCCAGTTACAGTTGACCAGGTAGCTGCCATATCAGGTGTACTTTGTCGTGCTGAACATTCATTCAGCCGAATTTATGACATACCTACCACGGGCCAAGCGTTTGCCAGGAACTGGAGATATGAAATGGGTATAATTCTTGCCTTGCCGGCATTTTATTAGACAAGATAGACATGCCAGCAAATAAAAACAGCAATGTGATATGAACTATTATCACAGAGGAATTATGCTAAAGAAACCCACATCTCAAAAGTAAGGAAAAGTATTAGTTCTGTAGATGAAGCTGGAGCGAGAGGAAGCAATGGATCGGGAGGAGGGCGTACAATCCAAACAGCAGGAACTGCGCATTCACAGGCGAGCAGGCGAGATCCACCCTGGCGTTTTACCCAGAATCTTATGTTATTCAGGTGGGAGTCCCCCAGGGAGGAGGAAGTGCTGAAGATGGAAAGGCAGCACAAGCTAGGTATTTAAAGAAATTATTTGTGTGGTATGTCATTAAAGAAAATGCAATAAAAAAATACATATTAAAAAATTAAAAAATTAAACTTAAAAATAAAAGAAAAAGAGGGACATATTTACTCTGACAGTTTGGGAGGTGGTTGGGAAGTCCCTAAGACAGAGACCAAGGGAAGGTTATTGCAAAGAACTGCAGGATAACTCAATTCATTTGATGCTGTGGGAGCCATGCTGAAGAGTTATGCTATGTTCTAAGACCTGTGAAAAGTTTTGAGAAAGGAGAAGAAAAGGATATTCTCTAAAACATGAAAAACTGCAGGAATAAAATTTTACCTGCTAAATTAAAATCTCTAAAAAGTGTCTGTCTTGTCCATGTAGCTTTGTACTTAATTTAACAGTGACAACAATTTCATTTCTTTCAAAAACGATTCGAGTAGGTTTTCTTACTTTGCAAGAGTTGCAAAGAATGCAAAATTACTGCTGAGAAGTCAGAGCCAACAAAACGTGTGACTTCAAGCCAAATAATTTCGAAAGAAAATGACCAATAAAACCCCCACTTTGTACTCGAAAAGAAATATTATTTTATGGAGTTGTGGGTGTGTTTTAACCTGTTTCACATGGTGTGGGATGGCACCCCTTCAAGTCAGAATGCCCAGGGTTTCCAAGGTCTTAAAATGGCCTTGACCTGCAGCAGAGGAGCTACAGAAATATAAATTGAGGAGATATATTTAGGAGGTAGGATTGGTAGAG